CAAAGTTTGAGGAGATAATGGCTGAAATTTTCCACTGATGAAGGGCATTTAGTCAGAGATATGAGAACTGGAAGCAGAATAAGTTAAAAGGAAATCACATCTAGAGTTCAGTACTTTTCCAGAAGTGCTATAACCACTTGCATATGATCAGCTCTTCTGTAGGCAACAATTATAAACTATAGGCAACATATTTTTAAATTATTTGAAATCCTTATAGAGTGACCAAAATAGGCAGAAACTGCAATGGTCAATCTTTGAAAGAAGCAAACAAAATTGGATGAAGTCTACATTGATACAGCTTTTACCTCTGAGGGTATGCTCTGGTTCAGATGACACGGATAGCTAACATTAAACCGAAAGGCATGGTCTTATTTGTTTGAAGTTTCAGCAGTAGGATATGGTAACTAGAGATTGAGAGGGAACTCTCAGGAAAAGGATTCTCAGAAGGATAACCCCTAAATCTGTGCACAATTTCTCCGAAAATCCTTGACTGATACCTCCATAGCACGTGGGCAAGAGAGAGTTCAAGGAGCCCACTTGGAAGCCATAGCTAGGGGAGATATGAAAATCAAATAATGATTTAAGTTGCTGGTCACCATTGGGGTGAGAGATTTTGGACTTGGAATTCTGCCAAGTTACAGGGGCTTGATATATACTGTGGTCTTTCCACTTAAACTCTAGATAGATTATACTTAAGACAACAATGATATTCCAGGTCTAAGGGCAAATCCAAGGCAGATCTTTCCCCAAAAAAACAAACTTCCACAAATTCAAGGTGATTTTTTTTTATTAATTTACAAGCCTGACAGATAAAAACAGCAGAATAAAGGGCCTTTACAATATATCATTCCAATTTTCTAGTATATATAATTTGAAAAATCTCTAGACATGTCAAATAACAGACATAGAAAAGCATGACTATAATAAGGAGAAATAAATCAACATAAACTGATCCTGAGCTAACTCAGATATTGGTATTAGCAGAGAAATTTTTAAAGGCAACTATATTATTTTTATGGCCAAAAATTTAAAGGAAACCTGGTTATTATAAATGAACAAAGGGTGAATCTGAAAAGACACATAGAAACTATAAAAAAGGAAAAGAACTGAAATTATAATGTCTGAAATGCTAAATTCAGTGGGTAGGCTAATAGGAGATAAGAGATGGCAGAAGAAATAATCAATGAACTTTAAACAGAACAATTTTAATTATACAACCCGAAGTACAATAAAAAAAAATTTAAAGATGTCATAAGTAATATGTGGAATATATGAAGAAGTTAATAAATACATAACAGTGATCCCACAGGAAAAAATAATTTTAAGGATAACTATTTAAGGAAATGATAGTTGAAAAATTCCCAAACTTAGTATGAAACATCAACTTATATACCCAAGAGACTCAACAAACACCAATTAGGAAACAAAGAAAACTACACTTAGGCAACATACTCAAACTATAGACCAAAGGCAAAAGAAAATCTTAAAAACAGAGAAAAGAAGTCTTAACATAACCAGTGAAGAGATAGGATGACTGATTCTCAAAGAAACAAAGAAAGCCAGAAGACACTGCAGTGCTATCTTCAAAGTAATAGCTGCTAAACTAGAATACTAAACTCAGTGAAAATACCATTTAAAAATAAATCTGCATACTTCTCAAACAACCAAAAATGGAGAGAATGAATCATTAGCTGAAACTCATCAAAGAAAATACTTCAGGGAGTTCCTCACACAGAAGGAAATTAATCCCAGATGGAGACATCGAAATGAAGGAGAAATGAACAGTAAATATGTGAGCAAACTTTTAAAATACTGGCTTCAGAAACAATAACTCTGTATTGTAGAGTTTAAAATACATGTACAATTTTTAAGGGGCAAACATAACACAAAAGGCAATGGTTGTTACATAATGTTGTCTATCTTAGGACTAATTAGGAATATGCTGTGATCTGAATGGTTATCCCCTCAAAAAAAAAAAATCCATGTGTAAATCCTAACCTCAAGGAGATGGTACTAGAAGAGTACCATCTTGAGTCTCATACTAAGATTGGGGGCTTTGGCAGATGATTAGAGCCAAATGAATTGGATTAGTATACCATTTTAAAGAGGCTTCATAGAGCTTGTTTTCCACTATGTGAGGCTACCCTGAGAGGATGTCAGTCTGTATAAGAAGAGGGCTCTCACTAGACATAACTCAGCTGGCCCTATGATCCTGGACTTCCCAACTTCCAAAACTGCAGTGATGGTTACTTTATAAAAATGACCAGGGAAGCCCATGATGAGAAAATTTTGAGTAGAGACCTGAACAATGTCAATGACAGAATCACTGTATATGTATACATGGTTGTAGACTAGGAAGGTAGAGAGAAAAATGTAAATATTTTTATACTTTGGGTCAATGTGATTGAAGGTAAATCCTTTTAAGTTTCTGTTTGTGACTACAGCACATTATTAATAAAAAAATTGGGAGACTGAAGGGTGTACTTTAATTAATGATATTGAAATATTTTTCAAGTTCTATTTTGAAAGGTCATCTCCTCTCTCTCTGCCAAAAAGTATGTTAGTGAAGTTCTGAATCTAAAGTATAATTTAAAAATTTTCTTTAAATTATTTTTGCTGATAATTTGGACTCAGAAACTATACATTCCAGGCAAAATTGGGCATAAAAATTGGTAGTTTAACATTCATCTAAGTTTAAAAGTGTTTCCATATACAATACATTTTAATAAAATATTTGGTAAAATTCTTTGTTATGACTTACAAAAAGTAAAAAAGAAATTGCAAAATGGCAGCTCTAAGTCCTCCTAAGGCACAATCACTATTTTATATTCTGCAAATGTAATATATAAAAGTCAGTATACATATACACTCCCCAGTATTTAAATGGAAATTATTAGGAACAATTTAGGTGGCCAAAATAATTTTATACTGATTACATTTATAATTCACAGAAGGATGACTCCATTCAGTCTAGAAACCTCAGTTCAAGCATCTGTCCTGTGAAGCCCTCCTCTCTGCTCCCTCATCAGATTCCTCTGTGTACAATCCCACTCACCATCTTCTCTCCTCCACAGCACCTGTTCCACACTCCATTCCTACTGCTAGACCATGTGAGACCTGTTTGCCTCTTTATTACTTCCACCTTCCATCAGAAAACTGAGAAAATTTGTTTTATGCATCTTAATTTTCCATTCTTAACACAGCACTTAACATTCATACATTGATTGGACAGATATTTTTTAATCAATGTGAAATTACAGTATTAAATTGAGCAAGATTAACCTTGCTCTGGACTAGGACTAGACTAGCTTGTTCACAACCAGCAAGGGAGAAAATGCACACATGAACTCTTCATGTGCCAGTGAGATTCATGCCCTCATGAATGTGCATAACAGGTAGTGCAGTGATTAACTTTGGCTAAAGTTGCGTTTCTGAGGAAGTAACTCTTGAGCCAAGTTGTTCAACAAGAATTAGGTGTTAACTCTGTTGGTGATGTGTTAGATGACTGGAGAATACAAAATGGAACAGAAAGGGCACTTATCTCCTCTCTGAAGATTTATAACCTTGAATTAATAGTTTGAGTGAGAATGACACAGGTAGTCAATAAGGGTAGCAAGGTTGGTGGCCAGTTTGCTAAACTGTTAAAATACTGAATTCTTCCATACCAGTGGTAAATAGCAGCTCTTCTATGCACCTCTCCATTTACTCCTTATTCTGCATTCTCTTGATGCCCTTGATCCACAACCCTCAGACTTATTGTGCACTAGTGACTAAAATGTCAAAACCCCTATGCACTTAATATGTTACATATAATCTCGGGGAATACACTTCACCAAGGAGGGAGATTATAAAACATGAAATAAATGTGAGTATTCAATAAACTGCAGTTAAAGGTCAGACCCTGAGGTTCAAGCTGGGGAACAAAGGAAATAGAATTAAAGAATTGAGAAGGGCAATGAACATTCATTGTAAGATTTTTAAGCAGATCTGCTTTCAAAAACAACAATTCTAGCCAGGTGCAGTGGCACATGCCTCTAATTCTAGCAGCTCAGGAGGCTGAGGCAGGAAGATTGAGAGTTGAAAGTCAGGCTCAGCAATTTAGCAAGACCCTAAGTAATTCATCGAGACCCTGTCTCTAAATAAAATATAAAAAAAGGGCCAAGGGATTTGGCTCAGTGGTGAAGTGCCCCTGGGTTCAATCCCTCCTACAAAGAAACCAAAAACCAAAACAATAAAATCAATTTTGACCACTTTAGTATATAAGGGCCAGAAGATGTTTATTGGATTGAGCTATCCTGATGCTAATAAATTATTAGTAGAAACATATGGTCTTACTATGTTTGTGTGTGTGTGTGTGTGTGTGTGTGTGTGTGTGAACACATGTATTTCTATTGCTCTTTCTTTTCTGCCTGCTAATGAGACATTAGTATCCACATTTGCAAGATGGCTAGTCATTATTTGGGATCTTGTCTGCTGATAACACCGAAGAAAACAAGTCCAGATGAACAGAGGGAATTGATCCAGAGACTCTGTTTTAATCAGCACAAACCTCCAGCCAACAAGAAGGAAAAGAGAAAAAAGGCTTTATAAATCCTACAGACTTTGTGGGGAATTTGTCTCCTTATTTGTACAAATTACAGAATCTATTAATCTACTACTACTCCCTTTTGCAAGTGGTGATTTCAGTATTATAGATAGGACACTGAGAAATCATTTGGGGAAAAATCAAACTCAGCTGATCTAGAGTGATTTTCTTATTTCACTGAGAACATTTCATTAAAAAGTGACTGAATGCTGATAAATGAGTTTCTTCATCATTTTGATCAGGCATGAGATCATGCAGAAGTTTTGAATTTCAAAGGGCCAATGGAAAAGGCTTGATTGTTTTAAAGTATTGATAGAATTGGTTTTCCATTATTTAATTCCTTACTTGCATAAAAGACAATATGTTCCTCGTTAATGGATGTCTGGTTACGTGATAATTAAATACCAAAACAAGATCTGAACAAATCATTGTTTTATTTTAACATCACTGTTCACTGCCAGTTTATCTGGCAATCACTGCACTGTAGACACTATCAATTACAATGTAATTCCTATTATTATATGTATGTCTTTTCATGTTCTTTCTTAACAGTAAATGATAAATTATTGTCATTGAATATTAATTTTCAAAATCTTTCAGCAGCAGGCACAAAATCAAAACCCAATCAACAGAATAAGTATGTACAACAAGAAATCAAGGTTACCTCCTTTAAGACATAGATGCAATATTTTCATATTTCTAAAAGATCTGCATTTTAGGGGGGGGGCAATAAACAATAGAGTACTAAAATTTAACACAGAATTTGGTGTTGTTTAATACTGTTTAATATTTTAAAACTTTAAGAATATAGATCACCTTAATGTGGACATTGTTTCTTGCATAACATCATATTGTAGGGAGATTTCCCCTTTTGGGGTGCTCCCCTCCCACTATAATTGTCTTCTCAAAGTGGGCAGTCCGGAGGAACCATGCAGTCATTCCTCTTCACTCTTAACCAGTATGCGCTCTGGAGGAAGAACAGATTCCAGTTTCTGCCAGCGTTCTGGAGGCCACAGGATATGAGTAGCATGAGCATGCAGAAGTCCCAGGGAAACCTGAGTCCATGAAAACACAAAGAAAGCAACAAAGAAAACATTTTATAAAGGTCATCATCAATATCTTGAGAGCAGAATTTCATCCACATCTGGCATTCCATAGAAGGTTGCTAATAAAATAGTCAACATTTTATTAGCGTTTTCCCAGGTGTCTTATGTATGTAAACTCCTTCCATACTTGCAACAACCGTTTTTTGTAAGTAGTTTATTATTTACACTTTATAGATCAGGAAAAATATGTCCAGAGAGATTAAGAAATCTGTCAAAAGTCACATACTATCAATTGCTGGAATCTGGCTCCAGTACCAAGCAGGACAGGTTGCAACTCTAACGAGTACCCTCAAGAACCTGTATAGACTCAGGAAGCATAAATAGTTTATAATCTCAGAATTTCTTACAGAGTTCATGTTTCTGAATTTCATTTTGAAAAAAAAAATCATACAGACTTGAAAAATTCAGATTTTGTGAAAAGTATTGTGCTAATATTGTATGAGCTTTGAGTTAGGTGTGAATTCCTGGTAGCCTGCCTTGGTGGGAGACCACACTGAGCAACAGGGAACCAGCATTCCCGGAGACAGTGAAACCCAAGGGCAAGCCGGCAAGCCAAGCAGGGTGGAACAGGAAGCTAAGGAAAGTATGAAGATCATGGCAGATGGTCAAGAAGCCCATTAGCAGAGATGAGCAGTGATCTGCCAGGAGGCAAGGGGAAAAAACTCTTCCTGGAGGAAGTAAGGCTGAGCCCAGAGGCAGAAAGGGAACCTTAAACATCATAATCTCCCTAAAGACATTAACTCAATGAGCTGGAGAAGATGGCATAGTTGTTTAAAATATAGATCAGGGCCATAGCCTCAGAGATCACCTGCCAGGGGGTCTGAGGTAAGGCTAGAAATCCATGTTATTTGTTGTTGTTATTATTGTTACTACTGTGGAATATCTGAATGGTTCTTGAAGACATTCATACTTAGGACATAGTTTTTGAATGCCAGCTATAAATCATATATTATATGTCCAATTCATTTACTAATTTATTTTCAAATGTTTTCCCTACTGATTGTCTACAGAGATTAGCACAGAATTGTTGGTGATACAGTGGATAGAACCCACAGGTGCTTTACCACTGAGCTATACCCTCAGCACTTTTCATTTCTACTTTGGGACAGAGTGTTGCTAAGTTTTTAATGTTGACCTTGAATTTTTAATCCTCCTGCTTCAGCCTCCTGAGTCAATGGGATTACAGATATATACTACCACCCCAGGCTAAGACGTTTACTATTAATACCATATTACTTGTTATATAGTCCACGTTCAAAATTTTCTAATTGTTCCAATAGAATCTTTTCTATCTATTTTTTCTTTAAAATTTGGGATCTAATCAAGGATGACAAAATGCATTTAGTGGTCATTATTTGCTTCCAATTATATTTTGTTTACTTTAACCTGAAGTCCAGGACAGTTACCTTACAAAATGTCCAACATCTAGCATTGCCTGATGTTTTTTCTCTCTAGCATTGTCTGATTTTTTTTCCTCTCATAAATAGATGCAAGTTAAAACATTTTGGCGAGATTAAAATACAGTTGATAATGTGTTCTTCCCACTCTATCACACTGGGAGACAACAATATCAGCTTTTCCCATTGTTTTAATGTTAAGTTTGATAGCTTAATTAAGATGATGGTGACTAGATTTCTCCATTACAAACACATATTTTCCCTTTTGTAATTAATAAGTAATATATGGGATATTTTGAAACAGGATAAATATTCTGTGTGTCAACAACATTACATCTAATGACTTTACCATCCCTTAACAATCCTGCCTTAATTACTTAATTAATTGTACCTCAAGTCTTGCTTTTTTCAAGTTCTTAAACTTTTTCACAAGGATGCTTTGCCAATTTTTTTTAACTTCACTGAACTCTTGCCAATATATTTGTTTGCTTACTTGCTTTAGTTTTGGAGTTCAGTTTTGGACACAGTCATTCAACTCTGGTTTTTTTAATCAACACTCATTTTACTGAAACTAATCTTAGAATTCTTTAATTTCACATTTATTAAAGATACTATTCTCAAATCATGAGAAAAATTAATCTTCACAATTATGAATAATAATGGTGAAAAATATCTATCAATGAATAATACCAAAATTGCTTAAAATCATGATATGGGAATGCAAAATTCAGGGTTTAAAAAATATTTTAAAATAATATTTTTTATGTATGTGTGTGTGTGTGTGTTTGTGTGTGCACAGATATCTATACATGTTATATCTAAAAAGCCTATTCATTTTCTTGATTGTGTGGACATGGGTCTTTATTTTTTGTTGGTATGTCTATAGACATGCAGAAAGCATAGTGAATATAGAAGAATATAAAAATCCAGGAATACCGGAACGTTTTCAAAATCAAAACCTATGTTTTGAATAAAGTTATGCTTTGGCCTCCACATATGGTGTATTAGGATTCTCCAGAGAAATAAAACAGGAAATATAATATAAGGATATTTATTTTAGGGAATTAGCATACCTCATTGTGGAGGTTTAGCAAGTCCAAAATCTAGCAGGGGCAACTGTTAGAAGACTGGGGAAAACGTTGTAGTTTAAATTCAAAGGTAGTCTTCTGGTGAATCAGGAAGGGTTAATATTGTAGATGAGGTATAAGGCATCTGTTGGCTCTTTCCCTCTTGATGGGATGGCAGGCAGGGGCAAGTGAACCTATTGCTCTACTCAGGCATTCAACTGATTGGAGGAGGCCCACCAAAATCATTGGATAATCTGCATTATTCATAGCCAACTGATTTAAATATAAATCTCATCCTGAAGCACACTCACAGAAACACCCAGAATAATGTTAAACCAAATATCTGGGCACTGCAGCCCAGCCAAATTGACATATGAGATTAACCATTCTGCCTGGGAAATGGAATCCTCTTCCTCCTACTCCTCTTTAATTCACATAGTTTAACCACACATACCAACTCATTTAATTTTCACAATAACTGCTAAGTAGGTACAATTATCACCTCTACTTCATTGTTGAGGAAACCTAGATACAGCAATATGGTTTTTGAACTGAGACTCAAACACATAAACTCTGGTTCCAGAGCATCTGTATCACAATTTATCATCCAAATAAGATACATTTGATAGTCAACAGAAGCATTATTTTAATTAGGTCAGGATACTAAGTGGAAAATGGGCTGGTCAAATCAGGATGTATAGTTGCCCTACTTGATGCTTCTTGACCTTGCTAGATCCCACATAATTTCCTAAGAAATTTATCAAAACTAATTGAAAGTCTATTATTATGAGCCCAACTTTGTCCTCCAAATTTATATGTTGACATCTTAACAGTATCTGAGAATGCAACTACATTTGGAGATGTGCTCTATAAGGAGTGATTAAGTTAAAATAAGACCCTACCTGACTTGACTTGTGTTCTTATAATAGATTAGGATACTCATAGAGACACCAGGCATGCATGCACACAGAGCATATGAGAACACAGCAAAAAGGAGACTGTCTGCAAGTCCAGAAGAGAGACCTGAGAAGAAACCAGACCTGTTGATTCTTGGATCTAGGACTTCCAGCTCCTAAACTATCAGAAAATAGATGGTTGTTTAAGCAACTCATCTATGATGATGTAGCTATGACAGCCCTTGCAAATTAATATACACATGAAACAAAAAAAAAGGAACATCAAGCTAGAATTAAGGTTCATAGTATGTCCCAATCTTCACTCAAATATGGATAAAAGAAAAGAAACGGTTTCTGTATTAAAGAGAGATTATTGAGTACATACAACTCTTCCAATAAGTTAAATACTTCAACTACTATAGTTTGGCTTTTAAAAAGACCTAGGCATAAAAGGTTTGTTCTACAGTCTGTGGCTCTATTGAGTGGTGGTAAAACCTTTAAAAGGAGGGGTCTAGTGGGAGTTCTTCTGGTCATTGGAGGTGTACCCATGAAGATCTTAGAATGCCAGCCCTTTCCCCACCCTGTCTTTTGCATCCCAGTCAAATAGTGCACAGTTTTGTTGTGTACTGTTGTCATGATATACTGCCCTACCATAGGCCCAAAATCAACAGGGCCTACCAAGCCTCCAAAACTGGGGGCCAAAATAAACTTTTTTTAATAAGCCAATCATTTCAGGTATTTGTTTTAGTAACAGAATGCTGATTAATGAATCAACAATATAACATCTATTGGAAGTTGGTTCTCTTCTCCTTACTTGTGTCCCATGTATAACTGTGTCTCTTTAAATGGATTTAGAATATTTTCAGACAATAAGAATCTACTTTTATAATAAATATTAAACTACAACACAGAAACATCAAGAGAACAATTGTAAAGCTTTAGTAGATCTACTGAATGAGAAACACCTCCGTCTGCCTCTTACATACCTCTGTTGTTCCTAGGGGACCTTGCATATTGGTAAGCAGTGACATAGAATAGTAGCCACCACATTGTTTTGGTTGTGTACCTCATCAGCAAAATTTTTAGAATTCACTTTCATTATTTATATTTTAAAATTATATATAATTAGAAATCCATAAAATCAAACATTAGCAAAGCTCAAATGTTGAGAGCCACAGTTTAGTCAGAATGACGCCTGGCATTAGAGGGAATGGTTAAAAGGTGACCCTGCTCTGGGATTAGGGCGGATCCTACTGCCTAGGGTGCCCGCTACTTTGGAGTTCCCTTTGAGTTCTTGCGGGGGGTTCAGAGATGGGGAGCCCAGTGGAGGGAGTGTGTTCCTGGGAAGTGTGTGTAGAGTGCTGGTGAGAGTCGGGAATAAAGAGTTGCTATTTGAACCTACAAGGCTTTGTGGCATTTCAGTTATTTTGTGCCCCGCCAGACTGAGGCACTCAAATTCTAAATTTTAGATACAAACAGATGTTTTAATTATTTCTTGCATTCAGAATATCATTATCACATCACAGGGATGTTCATATCCCTAGCTACTCTAGGAATCACCAAAAGTACTAGTTGGAAAGTCATCAGTA